CCTGCCCTACCAGGTCTCCCACACCCACCTCCCCACCAATTTGGATCGCTTGTTGTTCCCTTGTCCCTGGGTTTGTTATCCAAAGCTTGTTCTTCTTAAGTGGCACGTAAGCCTTAGTTTGCCTGAGCTCGGTCAGCCTGCCATGAAACGTGCCTGCCCGGGGTCACTGTCACAGTGACCATCAGTGTTTCTGACTGATGGCACGCACGGTGATCAGCCTTCCCCACTGAATGGGGCAGGTCGGGTGCGAGGTGAGGGCGGAGGGCAGGATTCCAGGGCACAGGAAGAGCCTGTTCTGCCCTCCCCCCGGTGTAACATGGAACCCCAACCGCGTTCAGCTCTGTCCTGTGAGAGCAGGCTCCGTCGAGCTCAGCACAGGTTGTGCGCAAACCACATCAGGACGCTGCCTGTGTGGAACTCCCGTGGCGACGTCCTGGGAGGGAAAGGAATTACCCAGTGGTTCACTCGGTCTGCGGTCAGCATTGCCCCTCACCTCTACCAGAAGGAGTTGCATCGGGCCAGCGCCCGCCTTGACTGGCCACCCGGCAGCCGTGTGGCTTTGTGTCCGGGGCCCAGGGAGGGATGAGCCAGAAGCTGGTGGACTTGTGGCCGCCTTGGAGAGTGAGAGCGAGGTGCTGGTTCTCACGGAGCCTGGGGGGGGCGGGGGTGTCTCTGCAGCCTCTGTTCTCTCCAGGGTCTTCCTCCTCCCCAGATAGTAACAGTGACACGAAGAGCATTGATGGTTGCAAACGAGGTGTGCGAAGACACCCTGCTGGTCAGCTGGCTGTAGTTACCACAGGCCAGATGTGGTCAAAGGTCCACTGGCACAGAGAGCCTTTGTCGATGCCATTGATTCAATGGAGACCAGGTGGTACTGGGGGTGAGGCATTGGCTGCTAAGCACGAGGTTGGAGGTTCAAACCCACCAGCCTCTCCGCAGGGGAAAGATGAGGCTGTCTGCTCTTGTGAAGGTTTACAGCCTTCGAAACCCTAGGGTCCCTGTGAGTTGGAATTGCTACCTGTGGGGTTGGTTTCATTGTTGATTCTGAGTTCCCGGAGAGTGTGGGTTGGTGAAGCATTTTATTGTTCTAAATGGTTTCATTACGATAAGTTATCTGTAACGAGGGGAGCCCTGCTCTCACAGTGGTTAAAGTGCTTGACTGCTAACCGTAAAGTCTGCCTCGGAACAGAAACCTCGCCATTTTAACCCTCTCAGGTGTTCACTTCGTTGGTATCAGTTTACTATTCCCCATGTTGTGCAGCCAGTCACCACAGTCCACTCCCAAATCTCCCCATCACTGTGGCACCCCGTGCCCCTGCCGAGAGAATACCCTCTCCGCTACCTCCCTCTGGGGGGTCTACTCGGGGACCACTGCTCCCAGCCAGCTGGTCAAAACCCGCCTTCTGACGATATCTGGGTGGTTGGAGCCAAGCAGGCACCGTGGAAGTTTGTAGGGCTCGTTTTCCAAGTGTGCCAAGGGCCACCCCTGTGGGACCCAGGGCGGCAGTGACAGGAGGGAGTCCACCCGGGGAGACTATTGTGTGTCTGGGCCCCGGCTGGATCCCTGGGCCAGGGACAAGCTCTGAGCAGTCAGAGTGGGTGTGGAATTCCTTGTCAGCCCACAGGACACTGCTCTTTGAGATTCCCCCCCCCCCCCCCACTTCTCTGGCTGCTCCAGGGCCCCTTCCATACGTGACACGAGCCTCTGTAAGGAGAAACCCCCCTCACGGAGCGAGCGTTGGCGTGCTCTCCTCTTCCTGGGAAGGTGCTTTCCCAGTCTGACCCCAAATTGTCCTCTATCCTCTTCCCCCCCTCCCAAGGAACCGATGCTCTTGGGCAGCGGAGCACGACACATCACGTCACACCTTCCTCATTGAAGGCACAGCAGAGCTGGCAAACCACACTGCACCTGGGGTAACTGGCATTCACAGCCTTTTCTGGCGGCATCGTCCTCCATCCTCACGTTTGTCTTTTTGTCTATATGTAGGTCCTGCTTCTGTGACCAGCCAGTCTCCTGTTCCCTGTAAACTCTGTATCCTTTGAGAAGGCCTTGGGCCCTACCTGCAGACGTGGCGTCTGCCAGCCCTTCTGCGGCCAGGTTTCTGCAGAGCAGTCTGGGTGCCGTTGGAGCCAGTCCCCTGGGGAGACTGCCTGGCCACCTGGGGCCCCGGCCATGTGGGGCAGGGTGAGGCCCGCCTTTTGTTCTCATTCCTCCCGGTGCGGTTTCCTATAACCTGTAGATTCTTCCTCTTGGATTGTCTTCCAGCCCGACATCATCATCAGTGCCAGCCAAGGTAGGTAGGTTGGAGTTATCAAGTGTTATCAAGAACACTGCCGATGATGTAGGGTGATGGTTATAGCCAGTGCGAGGGCTCTGGTACTCCCACGGTCGGGGCTGAGACGTACTCAGCTGCCAACCTGAAGGTTAGTGGTTTATACCCACCTAGCGATGGTGGGTAGGGCCTGACTATCTTCATCCTTAATGATCACCAGTCAGCAAAATCCTGCAGGATGGCTCCACTCTCCAGCGCCGGGGTCACCACAGGCTGGGGCCCGCTCAGCGGCCATGAGCTTGGTTTAGTTTTTGCCTTAGCCGACCAGTGTGCCCACGAAATCACGTTGCCTCCTCTGCATCTGCAAGGATGCTATCTGTGGACCAGGCCGGGGAGAATTAAGAATGTGATCACCCGAGTCGTTTTTTCAAGGAGAACCCCAGCTGAGAAAGACTGCCGCAGCCTGTGCCCGCTTAGCCCACAGGGCATGTGGGCACTGGACCCAGGGGTTGATAGATGGAACAATTAGCAAATTCCACGGACTGCCCCGTGAGTTAGCTTCTGGACCTGTTTTCCTAAAGCAGGCAGTAACCACCCCGGGAGCGTGCTACAAAAGTAGATGCTATACTTTAAAAGGTACAAAAGTTTTTAATTGCCAGAGGGAGCCTGGCTGTGTTTTTCCTTCAAAGGGGGCAGTAGGCCAAATCAGTTTGGGAACCTTGAACCAGACTAGTGGGGAGAAATCGGAGTGGAGAGCAGAAGTGAATGCCACGTGTTAACACTTTTCCTGCCTTCAAGGACAGACCGCGGACTTGTCACCCTCCGTGATTAGGGAGCTCGGCCCTGGGTTACGCAGGAAGCCGATGTCCACGGGTCAGTGGTTTGAACCAGTGTTCTGAGGGGGAGCGATGAGGCCATCTGCTCCTGTCCAGGTTTAGTCTCCTGGCTCGAGGGCACCTCCGCACCACCTGGAGGCGCCTCTGAAGGCTAATCCACCAGCGTCCAGGAACCGTGCGGTCGGTCCGTCATCAGGTCTGCACGAGGGCCCTGGACTGACCAGCTCCGGTCAACTCGCTGCCTCGTCCATCCAGGTTACCTGTGGAACCTCCAGGTGAAGCTGCAGCCCATCGTAAACCTCGTGCCCGACAAAGGAAGGCTGATGGACTTCCTCCTGCAGAGAAAGGACTGCAAGATGGTCATCCTGTCCGTCTGCTCGCAGAGTAGGTGCTCTGCCCCTCCAGGGAGGTGGACCCCGTTTCTCTGCCATGTCTGGGTCCTGTGACCCCATTCTTCACTTGAGGGGTGGCTTATTTAACCTTGCGGAAAGGCTGCTAAGCATGCACCGAGCTGGCAGAGATTCTGGTGGGAAAGACTAAAGAGGATGCATCCAGATAAAAGCCCATGTGGATGCGGGGGTTGGGGGCAGTGGAGGGGGGGTGGGGGCGCTCAAGCAGGCTGCTTCCTCTGCTTCCTTTGGCTGCTACTGCTGCCGTTCTCAGAATCTAAGCCATGGCCTCGCTCCTCCAGGAATAACCCGCGCTAGCTCTTGGTTGTGGTGGTTCTCCTGGGAACCGGGCAGGCGGGGTGTGTGATTTCTGGGTTTTGTTTCTCTTCCTGTCCGGGTGCACTGGAGTTGTTTTTGTCAGAGTGACCTGTTTTAAGTTTGCAGTTGCCACCCAGCCTGACTGATGTGGGTGTGCACATTGTGTCCTTCCAGTGCTGAGTGAGGCAGACAGAGCCACGCTGCCTGTGATGGCCACTGTGTTTGATAAGCTCAACCAGGAGTATAAAAAGTACCTGGACGCGGAGCAGAGTTACACCGCGGTACGTTACAGTGCTGGACTGTTGACGGCTCCCCTGCGCTCCCCACCACCCCCACTCTTCCCCTGCGCGGGTTTCTGAGTAATTCATTGTAAGGTGGGGCTCCGCCGTTGTCGCCATCTTGGGGTTTGCCAAGGGCTGAGGGCAGGGTGTGCTGGTGGTGGGAGGGGGTGTTTGCAGGCCCAGGGCAGGGTGCTCTGGGTGTGGGGGGGAAGGCTTTTCTGCATCCCCGCCTCTCAGGAGCTTGAGGCTGTGTGTCCCTGGCGGTGCCTCCCGGGTCCTGTGTGTGATCTCAGGCCACCAGACCCAGGGCTGCCTTTGTTCTGAACAGTGACTCGGTGGTCTCAGCTCTGCGTCCTCTCCTACCCCTCTCCCCCAGCCAGAGCCCAGAGCGAGTGGATTAGAAATAGAATTGTCTCGTCCCATCATCTCCCCTCTTAGGGTGTGAGGACTATACAAATTAGGCTCGCCTGGGCCTTCTGGGCCCTACTGATGAGCTGTCAGCACCTGGTTTCATGGAGTCAGCCTCAGACACTTGCCATGGCTTTTCACTGTGGTACACTGCACATCTTCTGAAGCTAGAGAGGTTTTGGAGGAGGGGCATGCATTACTTTATCTTGAGGAGTCTAATCCTTTCCCAGGGGGAAATGCAGGTGGCTTACCTGAACACAGCCCCAGCATCTCCCTCCCCATCAGAGGGCCAGAACAAGCCAGTAAGGGAGGCCAGGTCACCTGGGTCCCACACATTGAGCTCTGGGAATCCCTCCCAGAATGGCATTACCCATGTGGCTAAGACACTTCAGAAAACGCCAAAACTGAGCTTGGCCCACAGCAGTGCCAGGAGTTTCTGAGGTCAGCAGGAGGGTCTCAGGCCGACTGACCAACCCCACCCCAGGCATCTCTCTGCCTTTTAACAAGATCTCGAGGTGATCGGAATGCACACAGATCTAAACTGCTCTTTTTAAAACTTCCGTTAAGCAGGCAGCGTCTTCTCCCTCACTGCCATCGAGTTGATGCCGACTCGAGGCGTGACCCTGGAGGGCAGGGGAGACTGTCCCTGTGGGTTTCCAAGACTGGCTCTTTGCAGGAGTAAAAAGACTCCGCTTTCTCCCAGAGTGGCAGGTGGTTTCAAACTGACCACTGTGTAACCCACTACGACCAAGAGTGTGAGAGTTTTGCTTGGGACTTAAAAACTTCAGATAGAGGTGGTCACGGAAAAGTGCAGCAAAAGATCCTGCGTCCTTCTTGGAGAACAAAGGCTGGAGTAGGCAGTGAAGAAAGCTCGGGAGTGATTTCAGATTTAAGAATGATGCATCTTTAGGGAAAACATGGCTTGGGCGGTTCTGATTCTGTTCTCTGAACAGTAGGGCGCGTTTAAGTGGGCCCACACGACCACCTAGAACTCTGCCCTGCCAACACTGGGAAAGAGCTTTTTCCAGGTAGTGCAGGGCTGTCTCTTCCTGTTCGCTAGCAACTCAAGTCTTTCTGGATGACGTGGAAAGGGCACTCGACTTAAGTGGACGATGGTGACTGCATATGTGCTTCTCGTTTAGGCAGTAGAAGCAGGACAAAGTCGAAGTAACCCGCCCCTAAAAAGGCCTGTGCGGACGCAAGCCGTTGTTGACCAGTCCGACATGTACACCCACGTCCTGTCTGTGTTCGCGGAGAAGAAGGTGGGACGCAGGTGCTGGGGAGCAAGTCATATTTGAAGAGGGAACTGGGGGATGAGAACCAGGGGGGTGATCTTGGGTGAAGGCCCAGCACTCAGTTTGGCTTCTGTTCAGGCTGAAAGCAAGGCAGCAATTAATTACGGAGCTGGGAGGACTGATTCTGAAAGGATGTGGGCAAAACCAGCCTCACAGAACTATGGAACCAGCTTAGTACGGAGGAAAGAAAGGGAGGCGGGTTAACAAGGCCGCTCCTCGTATTTCTGGGTGAACTCTCTTTCCCTCGCAGGAGATGCCGCATAAGCTGGTGGTCTCCGTCCTGATGGAGTACGTCCGCTCCCTCAACCAGTGTCAGATTCCAGTGAAGGTACTTTCACCGGAGCAGAGGTTTTGGTCTCTGTTTTAAACAGAAGCTCCATCAAAGTGGGCCATGCCACGGACCACCCGGGAGACACTAGAACGATTTAGGCATGGGGTGGTGGTGGGGCCTGCAAGAGCAGATGCCTACACTTTAGCCTGGATTATGGGCTAGAGGACACCCAGTTTTAATTGCCAGGAGGATACAACAAGTAATTTTCTCTCTCACGAGGGGGTGGCGGCCAAGTATGTTTGGGAACCTCTAGGCTAGAAGAGGCCCACCTTGTATGTGCCAGGAGAGCTTGCACAGCTCAGTCGGGCTTCTGAGGGGCTTCCCTGACACAGTCACTTTGGTTTAATTGGAACAGGCCGGGTCCCCTCACGTCTTACACTAAGAACTACATCCCGTCGGTCGGAATTGCTTCAGTTCTCCATGCGTGCAGTGTTTCTCACCTCTCTCCTTCTGCCCTCAGCATTATTTACATGAACTGGTTGTCAAAACCCTCGTCCAGCACAACCTCTTTTACATGCTGCATCAGTTCCTGCAGTACCACGTCCTCAGTGACTCCAAACATCTGGTATGTACCTCCCACCAGATGACCGCTCCGGCCACGGTGAGCTGGTGCTGAAGCTGGGGTGGAAATGTCTCTTTCAGGCCTGTCTGCTCCTGTCCCTGGAAAGTTTTTATCCTCCGGCGCATCAGCTCTCTCTAGATATGCTCAAGGTAACTCTTACCCCTCACAGTTTCCAGCTGCCTAGAGAAATGGCCGTTCTTGTGTCTTGAGCTTACCTACAGCATTGTCTCTCTTATGTCTAGAGACTGTCAACAGCAAATGATGAGATCGTAGAAGTGCTTCTCTCCAAACACCAAGTGTTAGCTGCCTTGCGGTTCATCCGGGGCATTGGTGGCCACATTTCTGCACGGAAATTCTTAGATGCTGCAAAGCAGACTGAAGACAACATGCTGTTCTACACTATATTCCGGTTTTTTGAGCAGCGGAACCAGCGTTTGCGAGGGAGCCCCGATTTCACGCCAGGTGCGATGGCTACGGTCAGCAAGCTGGGGCAGCCTCGGACTACTCTGGACCGAGTAGTCAAGGGTTAGCAATGAGTGGCCCAGGGTGGCTGCTGTTAGAGGAGGGAGGGGAGCAGCCCTGGGTTGGTTTGCCAGAGGGAGGTTTCCTGACTGCAGCCCTGCCCCCAGCTGCTCTCTAGTGGAGTAAATTCTGGAGTGCTGTACAGGTGGAGCCTGTGTAAGATTGCCTGACCACAGGCCTGGCCCCCAGCCATTCTCTCTAGTGCATTCTGGACTCTGAGTCGGCTGGCGCTCCCAGCGGAGGGGCTGTTTGGTAGGGACATGCTGGGCTTTGCTGTGACGGGATCTTCTAAGAAGCAGTGAGGAGAGAGGATGATGGGTACCGGTTTTAAATGGCCTGGGGCTCATGCTTCATCAGTGTTGAACTCCACACCAGTTCACTGCCAAGTCGATTTCGGCTCTGTAGGGCAGGGGGAATGAATTGCCCCTGTGGATTTCTGAGACGATTTAAAAAAAAATCATTTTGTTAGGGGCTCGCACAACTCATCACAATCCATCCAGCCATCCATTGTGAGACTAACGTTTTATGCTACACTGAGCAGTCACTGAATAGTTGTGAATTCTAAGGCATTTCCAGAATGAGGGAGGAACAGTGATTCAGCTCTGCTTTAGGTCGATGAACTTTTTATTACTCAGCGTGAAGGATGCCCTTCAGTCACCACAGTGACAGGTGACAGTCTCTACCAGTAGCTTCTCTTTGTCCCAGAACAGATGGTGACTTACAGGGACTGGTCAAAGGACAATTTTGCAATGGCCTGGCTATGGGTTACAGAAAGCGTAACTCGAAGCATAGAAAAACAGTCTTTTATATTAAAGAAGTCACACCCAGTACACACAGCTGTGAGGGAGCTGAGTTCTCTCGTTCCCCCCTTGAGTGACCTGGCTTAATCCAGTCTACTTTGCTTTGCAGGCGAACACTGTGATGAGCATGTTGCCTTTTTCAAACAGATTTTTGGAGACCAAGCTGTGAGGCCCACCACACTCTGAAATAAATCACTTCCTATTTTAATGTGTACAAAGTTAATTTATTGCATTAATAAAGCTCTTTAAAGTACAAAATGTTATAATAAAAGTATCTCTACAGTGTTCTCGAATTTTACTAAAAATGGGGTCTAGGACTTGATGGCTTCTCCTGAGGAAGGAGGGTATTGCATTGACTGGCCTTGCAGCGTGTCATGAGCAGTCACGGCCACAGCCACGGCAGTGTCACCTCTGGCAGGCCGAACCGCGAGGGCGCGTTCCTGGAGCAGGTGGGAGACGGCCCTTCCGAGGTGCCTTCAGCTTTCCTAATACTGCGGAAGTCCCACTTGCCTTCCTGAGTTCCAAAGCACTATGTGGGGAGTGGCTTATCCCCAGCCTGGTGGCTTGTAACAGCCAGGGTTCGGTTTGCCTCGGTGATGCAGTGCGCACCGTGGAAACTGACAGACGCTCAGTCACCGAGCCCTGGTGGGGGCTAAAAATTGAGGAGCCGTTCGCGCTCTGTGTCTTGATAACGCTCCTGAGCGGTGCTCCTTTTGGCTTTATTGATGGATGGTCCTGTGAGATGAAAAGATTGTGTCATTTCTTCAGGAGCAAGAGAAGATCTAGTTAGTACTGGTTAGTAAACCATCACTGTTTACAACTTCCCAGACAGCTGGGGTTCCCCCTTAAACCTTTCAGTGCTACTCGGGTTACAAAGAGAACTCAAGCAAATGATACTGTCTTCCGTTCAGCCTTCCATATTGATGCAAGTTGGAGTGGCCACCAGAGATGGCCAGCAGGGTCGTGGGAAGGCAGCTCTAGGCGTGGGACGGACGGCATGTCAGTAAGGGAAACAGGCATGCTAGCTGCTGCACAGTGCTCCTGAAGCAGGGACCTCGCCGCAGGTCTGGCTGGTCATGTGCCTCCGGTCAGTGGGAGGGAGTCACCACCTGGCTGGCCTAACCTAGGACTCATTTCAGGGCTGACTTAGGGGCAAGGCCTCCATTTACAAAGGAAGTGGTCTGAGCAAGCAGGTTGCCCTCGTGAGGGTGCAGGCTATCCAGGGACCCTCCCACCGTCACCCTTGTTTCAAGAGCATCAGGGAGCTTTTGGAGACTTCCAAACTTAACAAATGGCACTCAGCACATTTTTGAAAATTCTTCCAGATAACCTAACATTTCCCTTTGTGATGCACTTCCTCCCATTCCACCTGAGAACTTACCTATGTAGCTAAGGAAGACGGGGAGGAATATTAAGCCATGAGTGGCTCCCAGTATCACCATTGCGAAATACATCCTGAAGTAAAATATCTGGAAAATTTTAGATTTGGCTAAGGCCAACACCACAATCCCTCCAAATTTTGTTAGTGTGATTCCACTGAATACCTAAGAGGGAAAAAATACAATTGTTTAGAAGTCACTTTCACCAACCAATTGGAATAGGAGTACTTCCTTAGATGGAGTTTCTTAATATTCAAGGTCTAAGGTAACAGGGTATTAATATAGGTGTTAAAATAAGTTTTAAGAAGGGTAAAGGCTGTGTATCCTATATAGGGCACTGTACTCTGTCTACATTGCGCTATCAAGCATCTGACATTGTTACAGAGAATACAGTTTTCGTTCTTCTAAAACTGTTTTCTATAGTGGCAGTGTGAGACTTGATAGCCCAAGACAGGCTAAACCGAGATCACGAACCAAGAAGATACTCTGCACATGGCCTTGCACGCTGGATCCGGGAACAGGATCTGTGGCTCCTTGCTGATGTCCCACACAATTGTGAGGCTGGCATGGGCTGAGCAGTTTTGTTCTGTTGTCCATAAGGCTGCTATGAATCGGAACCGACTAACAACCACACTGCACATGGGAAAAGATTCGGCATCCCTCCAGTCTTCGGACTAGTCGCTTGCTTCAGCTGTACCGTCTCCTGAGACCATCATAACAAGCAAGTGCAGTTCCGCTACTTCAGGACGGCCTGAAGCTTGGCCGTCCTTCGGAGCCCTGTTTTAGAGGCTCCAATAGAAGCAGTGGTTTTAAGGTGTTTTCAGAAGCATTTGGTCCACCCCCAGGTACTCACCGAGCTGCCCATGCATGAGAGCGCCGCCTCCGCTCGGCCCACACGGCTGCCCTTGGTGCTCACGGTGAACGCCCTCGTGATGTGGCTGCAGAACTCCACGGAAATGCCGCAGCTCTGCAACAAGGGGTCCCGTGAAGACAGCTCTTGCCCAGCAGAGGGCCTGCGCAGCCCCTCTGTCCCCAGGGGCCAGCTACCCCTGGTGGTGGTAGAGCCTGACGCCCCTCCTGGATTTATGATCTCATCATAAATCTCATCACTTCAGTTTAAACAGTCCCAGGAAGCTTTGGGGGCCTTCCAAACAGCTCAGGGCTTATTTTCTAGAACGCATTTGTCCTCTGGATGGAGCAGCGGAAGCGCCTTAAGGAGACCCCACTGAAGGGCACACTGCTCCAGCACTAATAGCTCATGCACTGTCTCCTCTTTCCCTCTGATGCCCCTAACTTCAAGACTTTACTCCCACTGCAAAAAGCACCTGGCAGCCAAATGGGAGGTAGAAATATTTGTCTCAGAGCCCCGCGGGGGCGGGGCCGTTTTCCTCAGTGCAGAGTGAGCACCTTGCTGTCAGTGGATACCTGTTTTAGTAATCCCTCCCACGTGACACAGGCAGAGGGCATGAGGTCGCAGTTCCACTAACCTACCACTCAAAAAAAAAATCCATGGACTGGGTGTCTCCTCCCAGATGTATCCCTACTCCCACATCCTGAGTGTCCGTCCCCCTCGCCACACGGTCGGCCCAGCCAGGCCCTGCCTGGGCACTTCATTCTGAAACTTGCCGAGCAGGTAAGAAACGTTGGCAATGACGATACCGGAGTTGGGGACAAGCTGAGGGGGCCTGGGACTCACCATAACCAGGTTGACCAAGGACACGGCGTTCAGGCTGATGCCCCAGAGCCACATGACCCCAAACATGTTGACCAGGATCATTGCGATGGTGACACACATGATCACGGCAGACCACAGATCACAGCCCAGGAGAACCAGGGTCACCAGAAATATCGCTCCCAGGGACACACCGAGGTTAAAGATCGTGTCGTCAATAATGGTCAGGTACTGCTCGTAGAAGACGTAAAACACACTGTGGAAGAAAGCGGGGGGAGTGGGGCGAGACACGGTGAGAGCTTGTCATGGCTTCCACAAGCTCCACTTTGCACCCCGCCATCACTGCAAAACCGTGGAAGCACTCAGACGCCCTTGCAGGGAGGGAGCTCTGCCTGTGGTCATGCAACGGGGCCTCGGGGGCCACTACACTTGCACAGAGGACCAGCAACGGTTCAAATCGTGCCTGGTCTACAGATGTATGGTTCAGAAGCCCTGCTGTGCCCCTGTGGTCTAGACGCTCACAAAGACCGAGAGGGTTTGGAACTACCACAGGCTGAGGAGCTAACGCTTCCCTGCCCCTGCCAAGGGAACCAGCTCTTCCCCGGGATGGAGAAACCAGTGCAGAACTTCCTCCCGGCCTGTCCAAGAACACCCAGGATGCCTTTCAATCACACCACAGGCGGAGGGAGGAGGGGAACAAAGCCAAAAACCACACACTTTTTGTTCTCATCTTACTTTCTAAATTCATGATTTCAAAGATAATTTCCTCTGAGGGGAATCAGAACCACTGAAGGAAAAACAAGTGTCTGCAGAGAGGTATGAGCCACGCTGTCATCTGTCAGGGGCACCAGTCAATCCTTTCCTGGGAAGGGACATCAGCAGGCCCCTCGCTGTGAGCCCCCTGGTGCCCCTTGGTGGCATGGCTCTTCTGGAGTGGGACAAGGTCTTTCCTGGATACACCTCACTGTATTCCTGACAGCGCGGGCCCAGAGTCAGCCCAGGCAGCGGGAGCAGAGCCGCCCCCACCCACACCACTACCAGCAGCCGGGCCGGGCCCTCCCCTGGTAAGGTTGCATTGGGGCAGCCCCTACCTGTACGGGAACAGACGGTATTGACTCCCATTGATGCCCATGGTTTCCATAATGTTAGTGGCGAGCAGCCGGGCTTTCTTCATGGCATCGATGAAGTCAGCAGAGGTCTGGAGCACCGTGTGGTAGGTCATGAAGTACGTGGCTCCCACGCGAGTGTTGTTGGCGAGGATGTTAACGGCTGAGCTGTATGCAGCGTGGCCCCTGAGAGAAGAGTCCCAGGGGGTTAGACAAGCCAGGCCACAGATCTGCAGCTAGGAAGTTGAAGCTAAGTGAAATCACACTCAACCATCCAGCTCAGGGGCAGGGCAGGCCTGCTGAGAAGGAAAACACAGAGGCTTTAACATAGTCTCTCCGGACTGGCTTGACTTGCCTGCTTTTGGCTTCTTTGGTGTATGCATGCTCACCGTTGAACGTCTAAGCTAAACACGACATAAGGGCTGCTGTGGTAGTTCCATAATCTGGTGTCCATTTGAGGATTAAGAGTGAAGGGGCGGAGTCTGGCCTGTCAATCGGGTCATAGCTAACAAGGCCTCTGTGTGGGCATGGCCTCCTCCTGAGTATTTTGGGAGCTCCAGTATTGCTCCCTGGAGGCAGGAGACACTCTCACTCTCTGCTTACTCCCTGTGGAGAAGACACATGGAGAGAGGCTGATGGAGCCGGAGCAGCCATGTGGAGACCCCTGCCAGCGCTGAGATGGATGCTCACAACGCCACTGGATCCACAAGACCTTCTACCCACTCACCTGTGATCTTCCTGCCTTCGGTGTCACTGCATGTGTTTCGTGAGTGTGAAGAGGACTTTATAGATTAGTATCGGACACACGGGCTTGATCTGGACTGGGCTGGGAAGTTTTTTCAATTGTCAATTGCTTATATACAACTGAGAATTGTATATAAACCTCTTTCTTACACACATGAGTGTCTATGAATTTGTTTCTCTAATCTACCCAAATTAACACAGCTGCTTAGCTGCTTTGTCCGAGCGAGCATCTACCTGGGCTGGCAGTCACGTGTTTTAGGATGGAGCCTGCTCAGGAGAGTTGTGTAATTGGGGCAGGGAAGGACAAGGGCCCTGAACTCTTAACAGCCTTGAGTCAGTCTCAGCCTTGGCGTGTCGGACACAGATAACCCTGGGCAAAGTTTCGAAATGTGAACTTCAGCTTCCTCCTCTGTGCATGGGCTACCAGCACCTGCTATGGGGATGAGCAAACAGTGTTGGCCTGATATGGCCCACAGAGACAGATAATCTATAAAAGGTGACTTGCCTCGAGACAAATGAAGGTAGGTCACGTCAGCATGACCATGGCCCACTGAGGCTGAAGATGCTCTCCCTTGTTTTATACAGGACAAAGCGTCTTCCCATGGTCTCTTGTCCAGGCAGGGCTCCGAGAGAGACATGGGATCAGCGATGAACTGACGGCTGAGCATCAGGAAAAACAGGCCCAGCCGGGCTTTACCTAATGCTCACGGGAACACTAATCTGGCTCCTGACGGATGCCCGTGACTTCTGCTCCCCACAGGATGGCCAGGGGAATGAGAGAGCCATCTGGGTAGGTGGCTGGGGTGGAGTGCGGCAGTGCTAAACTCATCTGAGTCTTGATCGTTGGGGGCATTACCAAGGCAAGAGGCTGCCCCACATGCCCGTCAACAATTTACCAGCCTAAGGTCTTACATATTCTGAAATAGTGCGGTGCTCCTCCTGCCCCTGTGACCCCCAGGAATCTGCATCTGCGTGGACATCCGGGACCCAGAAGCACATGAGAAATGGATGCTCAAGCTTTGCTGCAGTCAGTTGAAAACCACGTGGTCTTTCCACAGAAAGACTGCTGCAGGGTGCGGTGGGGACAAACGAGGGCCTTGCCCACGCAATTCTTCCACTTCGATCCTCCCTGGACCTCGTTTCTCACCAAAGGTGAAAGCAGAAATCGCCCAGTATTGAAAATGCCCAGTGCACTTACCCTTTGCCACACTTGGGGTTGGGGTTGTCCGAGAGGTACATGGGCAGGAATTTCATGAAGTCTTTCCCCCGAGGCCGCTGTTTGCCCTCTGGGGTGAGTGGCCGGCAGCGCACGCAGGCAGGGTCCACCACTAAAAAGCAGAGAGCAGGACGCCCATGGTTAGAAGAACGGCTCTCTCAAGTTCATCAATTTCATTTAGTAATGCCGTAAAATACTGATGAGAAAATAAGAGAAATGATTTCCCTGAAACCTCTTCTCCTTTATTCAAAAACTTCAGGCCCATGTGACTTTCAGGGTCTAATCAATGCATCTCACTCAGACTGCCTGACCACAATTGGTATTGTCACACTGTCAGGGCCCAAGGTTTCCAGGAAAGTTCTAGTGGAAACCTCAACATTCTAACGAAACAAAGGGCCGCAGTGATTTCTTTTTAAAAGGAAAGAAACCCTATGGGAGGGAGGCTCAGGCCAGAGAACAATCCAGTGGTCCGGGTGGTTAACAAAGACGAGAGGCGCTCTCGAGCTGGCCTGGCCCGCTGTCCCCAGGAAGAACGCAAAGGCTTCTCAGGGGGAGGAAGACCCAGGGTAGGCCCACAGAAGTCCAAGCTGAGCTAAACTGAAAATGAGCTTTAAACGACCATGTGGGATTTCCTCGGGGAAAAGGAGCGAGGCGCGAGCTCTGGGACAGGAGGCGGGCGCACCTGACGCATTGCAGAACTGCTCTGTGACGTTGAACACTCTGCAGCAGGAGGACTGAGGCTTAATCCAATCGAAGTAATCGTCGATCCAGGATGAGGGCGCGAAGCCTATCCGGGTACTAGGAGGAGAGTCAGGAGCACACACACATACACACACATGCTGGTTGGCCCGAGGGAGGGAGGGAGGGAGGGAGGGAGGGAGGAGCACTTTCGTTTCAGTGCTTTTTCTTCTAACAATTTCCTCGTCTACACGATCTGCCCAGGTTAAAACAAACAAGCAACTACATTTACACCTAATGGAAAACCTTAACAGTATGCCCGACTAAACTAGTCCTTTAAAAACCCCTTTGTCCAGGAAAAGCTAGGTTTGGGCTACAATTTAAAGAAAGCCAAATAATAACAATAACATTTGCTTTTCGGGGTGAAGCTCCCGGCGTGGGTGGGCTCCCGTGAGGTGGCACTCACTAGCTGTCCAGCTGGGCGGCGTTAAATATCTGCTGGACCAGGGAATCGTTGCTGCACCCCGTGCCTCCGCACACCATGTTCTGTCCCTTCAGAGAGGTGTAATCGTGGCCCTCCTCCAGGACAAAGTACACAGGGGGGCCCGCGTGGAGGTACTGACTCAGGGACTGGAAGTAATCCTTAACATAGGAGTCCTGGAGAAAGAGCAGGGAGAGAGCAGGGGAGTGATGTTCGGGGAGCCATGACGCAATGTGATTACTGTGCAGAACTAGGACTGGGGCATAGGGTGGGGTGCTGCTGGCCGGGCTTCCCTGGGGCTGTCGTCCCCTGGTTTAGAGGGCAGCTGCCGAGCAGACCGGTTGCTCAGTCTATGGCTCTGCCCAGCAGCTCCCCGGAGTCCAGAATTCCAAGGCCGCATTTTTGGAGCCTGGTGACAGCTCAGGACACCCAACCACCTCCACCAGCACGTCCGTGAAGAAACACCCATGTGCCATCCTAACTCTTGCCCCTCACACACCCCCTTCGCCCCAGACACGTGTGGTTCTGCTTTTATTTTACTGTTGCCAAATTGCCCGCGATCCCCACATTCAGTTAGTTAGGTGGGTCCCCATGGGTCTGTTGCCCAGTTTAAGAAGTCTTGTAAGGAATGTGCTCCTCCATCACCAGGGAAAACCAGGGCAGATGAAGAATGTGCCTTACACTTGGCATGGAAAGAGACTGATCCAATCCAATTTCCACTTTGTTCAGCACTGCAATGCTGAAGGACAGGAAGCCCACAAACACCGCTACCTGGAATGACAAGTGGGTTAGGAGACCAGGGACCGCTTCAGGTTGCAATGAATTTAAGAACACACACACGTGCAAAGAAACCAAAAAGCAAGGTTCGTGACATGTGAGGAGGAGAACAGTGAGTAGGAAGGAGCGGCCAAGATGACGGCATGGACTGTCCCAGCTTCCTGGGCTCAAACTGAGCAGCTGCGCCGCTGACCAGGCCATCACTGCGCCTCGCCAAGCTGCTACTGCCCCACCTGAGACAAAGGACACTGCCCGACTCCCGGCCAGACAATGCGACAAGCCGGGAGTGACCCAGATTCGAGCAGAGTCCCCAATGGACAGTAAGTGCTCCTAGATGCTAGCGCTTACTGTTACTCTATGATCAGACATGAATGGACATTCCTTTCCCAGAGAAGTGATAGGTTGGCACTGCCGGCTACCTTCAGTCATCAGTAAACTCTAGGAGGCTCTTGTGTGGGATTAGGGATGAGGGTGCTAGCCCTGTGAAGGGACAGCAAAGAGGAGACGACTGGGGCAACTGACTAGTTCTGTACCTTGACTGTCGTGATGGCTACAGGAATCTACGCCTGTGATGACGGTGACACTGGCCTGGTGTTAAATTCCTGCTCTTCCCCGGGAGCTTTAATCACAGAACATGGAGCCCCTGGGGGAAGGAAGGAGTCCCTGCTCTCTGCACTACCCTGGCAACTGCCTGTCACAGTCAGGCACGTGACACATCTGCTTGGAGGAGGAGGAGGAAGACATACCACAATGGGCCGCATCCAGTCCTTAAGCAGAAGTGGGGCGTAGAATTGTTTAAAAAACTGAAACAAGAAGCTCTCCGAGGCCTGGATGCTTGTCCCGTCGTCAGGACCGCTGACACAGCACAAGATGTCCAGCCGGCTTTTCTGAGGACACACAGAGTTAACAGGTCGCAGAAGCTTCATCTGGATGCAAGTTGAACAGATTACAACCCTCATAGCAACTTACCTCTTGACGCTTAATGTCTAAGCCCAGGAGACTGACGAAGCATGTAATCTGAAGGAGGAAGTCAATGAAGACGGCCATTCCCGCAAACAGGGAGAAAGTATGAACGGCGGGCATCACTGACAAGGCGCCTACCAGGGAGAGAAGGGCTGCTGCCGTGATCCTGCGGAGAGCCCGGGACTCCAGACTAGTCTGCGTGCTCCTGTGGGGTAGTGGTTACGCGAGGGGCTGCTGGCCACCAGGTCAGCAGTTTGAAGCCACCAGTCACTCCAGGGGAGAACAACAAAGCTTCCTACTCCTGTAAAGAAGAGTCTCAGAAACCTTCCACGGGGTCTGGCTTTGTTTGGTGCACATCTCAAACATAGGATGACAAGGGGCCGAATGGGCCAAGCCCGCCGGGGAGAAGACACTGGCTCCCCACAAGGGCAGCTGCATGAGTCTGTGTGGCTCGGAAGCGTAGTCTAGGCCCATTTCTTCTACGTGGAAACTGAAGCAGGATCACCAGGGTCTTGCTGAAAATGCAGGTTCCTGGGGCCCAGCCCTGGTCTACCTAGTGACTCAAGAGAACTCAAACCTCATTCTGCTCTATGCTAAAAGCCTCTGCAGGACGGTGTAAGCTCCTGGTAGTTCAGAGGGCTAAGCACGTGGAATTGTTAACCCAAAGTTGGCAGTGCACGCCCACCAGTGGCACAGTGGGAGAAAGAGGCCGTCTTTCCCCACAAGGGTTCAGTCCTAGAGAGTTGACGGAGCAGTACCACTCTGAGCGACGGGGTGGCCGTGAGTCCAAATCGGACCAATAGCAGTGGGTCTGAGTGGGCAAACTGATACCATTGTACTCGAGGACCAGGAATGGAGGTCTTCGCACAGCGCCTTTTCTCTGCATTCAGAAACAGACTGTGTTTTCCACCTCCTATTGTATCAACGCTAGTCTCTTGGTTTAGTTCTGAGAGGCAATTTACAGTCACGAGGGGCTCCAAGGCAGACATGGTAGGTAAGACTCAAACTACACACTAGCCCCCACTGTACTAATCTATTTTAGGATTCAAACATTTTTTTAAAAATAAGAAGCCGATATTTAAAAATGAGATATTCAAAATCCTAGATTGACAACTTCACTTGAAAAACTTTGACTCAGTAGCCCTGAGCCAGTACCAATCTTGCCTGCTTCAGAGGGCACATGTGGGCCCCAGTGCCCTAGCCCCCATTGTGGGCCCTGTGAGCCCCAAGTCGCTCTGCCCCAAGACGGGTGTATCGGCTTGGTACATTGAGCTGATTCAGACCCACAGCAACCCCACGTGGCACAGCAGAACTGGCCGGGGGGTGGGGTGGGGGTGGGGTGCTCCAGGCTGTAATCTTCATGGGAGCAGACCGCTAGGTCTTTTCTCCCTCAGAGACAGACACTGGGAGGTTCGAACTGCCACCCTTTCAGCTAATCACCGAGAACTTAACCATTGTGCCTAAAGAGGTGATCGCCATGAGACATAAACCCCTTAGTCTTTTGATCTGAAGCCAGACGCCTTCACTGATCATGGAGCTGAAAGATGCCTTTCTGTTTTCACCTACCTGTCCAGCGCCAGGGCAATATGGCCACAGGTTCCAAACGCACATTGCTTTGTGGAAATGAAAGACCAGCATGCCTATGGCGTCTTTGTGGAAGATGCCGCCAACAGTGGTCCTACCAGGGCTCTGAATTCGACAACCTGGTGCCTGGGCAGGGATCGTGGTGGGAGAGGCTTCTCGGGCCGAGTCATTCCCTGCAGCCTTCTCCTCACTTGTCCCTCAGAGCAGCAGGTGGCACGCGCACAGGTCTATCTGGAGCGTTCTCCGTGTGCGTAAAGACCACCCCACCCCCCACCCCCCCACCCCCGGCACGGTTCCGTGCACTGAAGGGTTCCGGAACCTCTGCTCATTTGCTCACTACAGAAGCTGATTCCCAGCTTGCTAGTGGTGCCTACGGACTGGAGCGGCGCTGCTCATGGTGGTGGGCTGAGGACGATCCTGAGGCTACACCAGAAGGCCACTTTCAAACAGTGACCTTCTGTCATGAGTGTCAAAAGGAGGGCGTGGCAGGAGGGGCTTGGCGGCCTCTGTGCCATCCTATTGATATTCCTGTCCATGTCTTTTTCAGGTTCAATGTCGGGACGTGTGCAAAGTGACAGGCAGCATCCCACCAGATCCAACACCCACTGCCAATGTGTCTGGTGGCCCAACAAGTGATACTTCCTGATCAGAGAATCAACCTCAGGAAAGGACACAGCCCACAGACAGGGCACATTCAGGCAACCTGCTCCCGCCCCCTCCCCCCTTCCCAGGCCTGGTCCTGGAGGAGCTCAGTGTGATTACCTAAGAAAAACGCTACGGTCTCAGAGAAGGACGACAGGAACATGCTGGGAGCCACTTCTCCTAGGACCCTGCCCACGTGCTGGTCCAGTGTTTCCCCCTGGAGACGCTCATCTCTCTAAAACAAACAAACATTAAATGTGCAACACTGAAGTTTCTTTCCAAATAGCAGTATCATTCATGCTCTTTGCAGCTTTATGCTAACCCAACAGTGGAGAAAACGATGAGTCAAAAGCATTTAAAGCACCCTGGTGGTGCAGTGGGTTAGGTGAAGGGTCAGTATCTCACACCCACCAGCCGCTCTGCAAGATTAAGATGTGGTTAATTGTCTACTTCTTGAAAAATTTACCCCCAGAACTCCTATAGCTCAGTTCTACCCTGTTCTATAGGGTCACCATAAGTCATAACCAACTTGGAGGCAGTGGCTTTGGTACAAGACATAAACTCCAAGACCTGTTAACCTATTTAGAGTCCTCCTGCACT